GGGGGGGCTGGAGGGGGTGGGGGTAGGGGGGTGGAAGGGAGATAAAGAGGAGGGTCAGAGGGCATAGCAAGAGGACAGAGAAAGGGATGAGGAGAGGCTGGGGGAGGCAAAGGGGGCTGGGCAGGAGTCGGTGGGGTGCAGGGTACCCACCTGAGTGGATGTGGGCGTGCAGTTTGAGGTAGTGCTCCCGCCGGAAGAACTTCTTGCACACCTGGCACTTGAACCTGCCCCCACTGCCATGGGTGGGCAGGTGACGCCGCAGGTAGCGTTCACAAGGGAACACCTGGTGGACGAGAAGTGTGGGCTTCGGGTCTGACTCACCAGGCCCCCCCCCTCCATTGCCACCTTCTGAGCTCCGGGTCCCCTCATTTCCAATCCCTATGGAGACACCTTCCTTTCTGCCTACCAAGGGCCAGGGTCCTTAGCACCTCATGGCTCCCCCTACTTGCCCATGAACCCAGCCAAAACATGCCTGCTCAGAGCTTCTGCCCACAATGTTCTTCCTACCTAGAGGCCCTTTCTCTCTTAGTCTGACAAATTCCTGCTTATCCTTCAAGACCCAACTCAAGTTTCGCTGCTCTGTAAATCCTTCCCTGACTCCTCAGCACCATGCCAGGAAAAGCAAATTCTACACCTGAATGTCCACCCACATTTTTAAGTCTACATTTAACCCACTGAATTATAGCCCTTTGCTTACAATGGAGTTCCAAGGGAGCAGAGAGGGGCTTTCATTTCCTAGGACAGTCAGGATAGTCAAATAAATGACATGTAAAAGAATGAATGAAAAAATGCACAAATAACTAAGGAAATGAATGGAGGGGTAATAAAAAGCCAGAAAACACAGAAGCCAAAAGTCTCTTTCCAACCCAGGCAGATGAAGGGCATTCATTCATTCTTTCATTCATTTGGTGGAGAAGTAATCAAGGCACAAACCCAGCTGCCCCACTACTTGTTAGCCCCACCATTTCCTACCTGGGTGAACATTCTGTGCCTTGGTTTCCCCATCTGTAAAATGGGGATAGTAATAGTACATCTACCCTCTAGGGTTCAATGAGTCAATTCAGGTAAATGCTCAAAACAGCATCTGGCATATCATAGGAAGGGAGAAGGAAAGGGGGAGGATTCCCCCACCACCTCATCACCCCTATGATGGCCCAGGCCCTGGGAAAGGAGGCAGCGGCACCCACCTTCTGGCAGTGCGGGCAGGGGAAGTTGTGCGTGGCAGTCTGCAGGTGGTGCTCCAGGGCCTCGGGGGTGGAGTACTTGTTGACACATTTGACACACCTAAGTGGGAAGGAGCAGGAGAGGTGAGAAAGGAGACCCAGCAGGCACAGGAACCAGCACCCCACCACCCCAGGACCAACATTAGGAGGCAAAATCCTATATTTAACTCATTCTCAAATCTGTCCACTCTTCTCGCTTGCCACCACCTCTGTTCTCATCTGAGCGGCCATCAGATCTTGCTCAGACATGTGCAGTAGCCTCCTCACTGGCCTCCCTGTCCCCACCCTGCCCACTGTAGTCTGTTCTTTACAAGGCAGCCAGCAGGAGCCCTTAAAAATGAAAATGAGACTGTGTCACACTGTTGCTTAAAACTGCCCATGTTGGCCTACAAGACCCTACGGTGTGACTCACTCCCACCTCTCAGACCTCATCTTTCTCCGCTCCCCACCATCCTCACCCTGCTTTGGCCCCTGGCCTCCTGCATGTACCTTGAACACACCAAACCCATTCCTACCTCAGGGCCTTTGCACTTGCTGTCCTGGTACCTGGAACATTCTTCCCCAAGTCTTCCCCAGGCAGTGCCTTCTCATCCCTCATGTCTCAGTGCAAATGTCACCTCCTCAGAGAGGCCCTCAACCACCCTGTCTCAAATTGCTCCCCACCATACACCCCCAGCCACTGCCCATTATGTCACCCAGTTTTATTTTCTTCTTAGCACTTATTATCTGGAATTATTTTATTTATTTGCTTACTTTGTTACTATCTGTCTCCTCCACTAGCAAGTGGTCCCTGCCGCAGGGTGGGATCTTTCCAGTTCACAACTTGCTCTGAGCACCAGTGGGAATCTGTTCCATGAAAGAGTCAGACAGACAGGGATCCAGGCCCAGCTCCTTCTCTGACCCTCTCAGTTTCCTCATCCATAAAATGGGGTAGGAATCCCAATCGGACCTGACTCTCGTTCACTCTTAAGATAGACATAGAGTCAAAAGACACAACCTTGGCAAACAGCTCATAAGCCACAAAGCACTACATACATGGTCTCTATTCTTAACATTTTTGTGGCTAATGTGCCTTCGGAACAGCAGTTCCAGGTCATGGACCACTCTGAAGGAAGAAAAGACGCCACCATCTCCCCACCACAAAAACACTTGCCAGCAAAGGGACCCATCCACCATGAGATACCCATGAGGAATGTCAGAGGCAGGTGGACAAATCATGTCAAAAACAGAAACATGGGCCCTGTTGTTCTGTACACCAGTGTCACCCATGGGAAACCCCAGGCAGGCTGCACCTGTGGTGGGCTCAGGGGACCCCTCAGACCACACTCTGAAAATGCCTACAGATGGCAATAAAGAAAGGCAGGGGTGGGGGGAGGGAACAGGGCTTCCAAGAGGGCAGAGACCTAAGAAGCTGGGGAGGTGGGAGAGGACAGAATCTCACAGGCTCCAGGGGAGGAGACAGGTTTGTACAGGGAGTTAGTTTGGCAATAGTCATGAAAATGAAAACTCCTTGCCAGAAACACCACCTTAACTAAGTGATCCAAGGTAACATCACCAGGAATGGGATGAATCAACATCACGTGCCTCCTGACATGATACACGGAGAGGGACACAGTGTCATTTGTGATATTCCTGCCCAAAGTGTACATTCTGGATCTAATCATGGGATGAAATCAGGCAGATTCAAACCTAGGACATTCTACAAAATAACTTGTCTATACTCTTCAACAATATCAAGGGCACAAAAGGCAAAGAACGAGGAACTGTTCCAGCTTAAAGGAGACTAAAGAGACATGACAACAGAATGCAATGTATGATGCTGGTTGGATCTTGGGCCAGGAAAAACGGTTTTTCTTTTTCTATAAAGTCTGTTATTGGAGCAATTGGAAAATTTTGAATAAGGCCTGTAGATTAGATAACAGAACGGTACTGAGGGTAACGTCCTGATTTTGATAACTATGCTGTGCTTATGTAAGAGGTTATCCTTGTTTTCTAGGAAATACACACTGAAGTAAAGGGACATCATGTTTGCAAATTACTCTCAAATACCTCAGACATGATAGAGAAATGCGGTAAAACGTTAACAGTTGGGAAATCTGGGTGAAGGGTATACATGGGAATTCTCTGTACTATTCTTGTAACTTTACTGGAAGTCTAAAACCAGGTCAAAATACATAGTTTGAAAAGAATATTTTTTGAACATGATTGCCTGTGATATGGGGAAGTGGGTCAGGGTGGATGGGGAATTCCTTTTCTCCCTATGCCCTTTTGTAGTTTTAAAATATTGAGCTGCATGCACATACAATTACTTTTTTTTTTTTCCTTTTTGTCTTTTTTCGTGTCCGGCAACGGATCGCAACCCTCAGTGTCGCGCCCGTACCGGACCGGGACCGGCAACGGGATCGCAACCCTCGGTGCTGCGCCCGCACCTCGCTCAGCCAGTGAGCGGGAACCGGTCTGTATGTGGGATCCAAACCCTCGGTGGGAGGGCCGCCGCGCTCCCAAGCGGCGCACTGTAGCAGTGTGCCACCGGGCCGGCCCTAACAATTACTTTTTTTTTTTTTTTTTTCCTTTTTGTCTTTTTGTTTTTCATGTCCAGCAACGGACCGCAACCCTCAGTGTCGCGCCCGTACCGGACCGGGACCGGCAACGGGATCGCAACCCTCGGTGCTGCGCCCGCACCTCGCTCAGCCAGTGAGCGGGAACCAGTCTGTATGTGGGATCCGAACCCTCGGCGGGAGCGCTGCCGCGCTCCCAAGCGGCACACTGTAGCAGTGCGCCACCGGGCCGGCCCCTAACAATTACTTTTTGAAGTAGGCAATTAATCTTTCTTAAAACTCCCTTAGATCTTTGACCTGCAAAATCGCTTCTAGGAACTTACAAGTGAGCAAAGGAGTATGTCTAAAGTTGTTCCTGGTAGCACTGTTTATGCCAGTGACAAACTGAAAATAACCCAACTATCCAGCAATGGGGGATGACTTAAATAAATTACAGCACATCGATGTACAATGGAATATTAAGTAGCTGTTTAAGAGGCAAGTCTATAGCACCGAAATGCAAAGGCGTCCATATTAGTTTTCAATGCAAAAGTTTTAAGTGATAAGACCAAGTATAGATTGATCCCATTAAGTTTCAGTCTGTTTGTTGGATGTTGCATAATAGAAAGATAATATGATGAATTTTCACCAAATTCAGTGGCTGTGTTTAGGATATTGATATTGATATAATTGACTCAATTATAGTCTGTGATATTTATATCTATCAATATCAATAAACATATTTATTACAGATATATATGAAAGGACATACACCAAGAGGTTAACAGTGGTAATCTTTGTATGACAGAGTTGTGTTTTTTTGTTTTTGTGTGGGTTTTTATGCCATTTATTATTTTGGGGGGGGGCAGCTGTCTAGTATAGGGTTGCATGGTTTTTTAAAAATCCTTTTCTCGGGCCGGCCCGGTGGCGCACTGCTATAGTGCACCGCTTGGGAAGCGCGGTGGCGCTCCCGCCGAGGGTTCGGATCCCACATACAGACCGGCCGCTCACTGGCTGAGCAAGGGGCGGGAGCAACACCGAGGGTTGCGATCCCGTTGCCGGTCCCGGTCCGGTACGGGCGCGACACTGAGGGTTGCGATCCGTTGCCGGACACGAAAAAAAGACAAAAAGGAAAAAATCCTTTTCTCTGCATTAATCATGTATGACTTTTGTAATTATGGGGAAAAAAATCAATAAATCTTATTTTTAAAAGAAAAAAATGTATAGTAAAGATATAGTGGAATGCATGAAATTTACTTGAGAGGTTTGGGGAAGTACCCACAGGCAGGCCAAGGCAATTGGGCTCAAAGAGAACAGAGCAGCCAAAGTGACAGGACCTGGACCCCTGAAAATAGGGTGAAGCCACCACACCCCCTGAAATGTCACTTTGAGAAATCAGCTCTCACATTGTTTAAGCCACTTTTATTCTGGGTGTCTATTGCATGCAGCCAAATCTATATCTAAATAATACAAATAATAATAATTGTAGCAATCACATTTATTGAGCACTTACTATGTTCCAGGCACCATGTTTAAGTACCTCATCCTTTTCTTACTTGATCCTTACAAATAATCCAATATGGTAGGCGCGTCCAATAGAGTAGGCACTATTATGATCCCCATTTCACAGATGAAGAAACTGAGGCCCAGGGTGTCTGAATACCTCACCCACACTAATCCATCAGGTTTGCAGTTGAGATGGAATTTGAGCACAGGCAGGTGGCTCCAGAACCCTTAGTGTTACCATGACACCATTCCACCCTCAGGCAATCCAGACAGCGGCCTGCCTCCTCGGGCCTAACTTTTGGCAGGGACAGCATCTCTGGTGTCTACAAGAGGCCACTGGCACTCTGACCCTTCAGGAGAATTGAACAGGGCCATCTGCATTGGGCTCAACCCTCAGCCTGCGAACTCCAAGACCAGAGCTGTGAGGCTTCCAAAGTCTCAGACTAGGGTCCAAATCCCAGCTGTGCCCTGATGTTGTCACTCTGGTGGGCTGGTCACTTCTCCTCTCTGAGCCTCAGTGTTCTCATCTTCAAAATGGGGAGAACACCACCTTGCTCCAGGAAGGATTGCAGGGATCGATGTCCCTAAGTCGGTGCTCCCTTCCTTTTACTTGGCATCTCACTCCAGAGCCACACAGCCACAGGAACTCACAGATAATCCACAGATTGGAATGGCAAAAGCAGAAGAAAATTCCCCCTGAGGACGAATGGGAATTATTCATTGCTACCTAGAAATCTCCACCCCTTGACAGGCCAAAGCTTTGCTCAGCTTTCCTGCCTCTCAGGTCCCATTTCCCAGTCTTCCTGGGAGTAAACTGCCCTACACTCCATTTCTTGAGTCCCAGTTCCTCTGCCAAATTCTCAAAGCTCTTGTAATTTCTATACTAACCTTCATGCCCTGGCCCCACTTTTCCCATGGTCCCCATCTAAACATCTCCTCCCACTTCCACTCCATACAACAGTCTTTCTAAAATACTTGCTATTTTATTTTATATCTCCACACTTGCTGTTCCTCCTGCTAGGTATGCACTCTACCCCATCCATACCTACCTGGCAAACTCCTATTCATCTTTCAAAACCCAGTTCAGATACCACTGCTCCTGGGACAGCTTCCCTGGCCTGCCTCCCACTGCGGTTCTTCTATACCTTATACATATGTACATAACAGCATTTCATCACAGTGTATGGTAAGCATTGTTTACACACCCATCTCCCTGAGCAGGCCATGCATTCTAAGCTCAAAATCTATGTTTACTTATCTTTGAACCCTGGAAGCCTCATCCAGGAGTCACAGGAGTCCCCATTAACAGAATCATCAGCCAAGTCCCTGTATATAAAAGTTTGTATAGAGAAGCAAAAGCCATTCTAACATGGAAATATCCACCAATGAACTGAAGGAGTCCCCAGACAAACACCCCTTCTCGCCTTTCACACAATCTGTCACCATGCACTCCTGGGCTTTGGAGGCAGTTGCTTCCAGATGACAAAGGGAAAATGTACAGCAAAATGACCACAGGGCAAAAATGTGGGATTTCATCAAAGTGATATTGGATATCTGCAGATAACAACACCATCAACAAAGGAGGGCCTGGCACAGGGACTGGAAAACAGTCAAGGGAGAGAAACTCGAGAAGGATGATCACAGGATCAAAAGCTCCAAAGAGAATGATTTGAAGGTCTAGGGATTAAAAGTGTGTGGCAAAGCTGAGAGAGCCCCTCATGATTTCTGCCAGAGGGACCCTCTCTACGATCACAGTGGAAGACTAAAGTGATGTAAAGGATTATCAGAAAAAATTTCGCCGAATAAAATCTATACTTGATTCATTCCTTGTTCATTCTAAGGATCAGCATAGCTTCAACTATAATCTAAATTTTATAGATTATAAAACAAACCAATTTTAATTTTATTATTTTTGCTTTCAAATATGGGCTTGTACATTCTTTTTTCTTTCTAAGAATCAGTGTACTGTTTTGACTGTACTCGAAATTTTGTAGATTGTGAGACAAAGTGCTATTTTCGTAATTTTTCAGTTTAGAAAAAAACATTTTTAGGGCCGGCCTGTGGCTCTCTTGGGAGAGTGTGGTGTTGATAACACCAAGGCCACGGGTTTGGATCCCTATATTGGGATGGCCGGTTAGATCACTTGGGAGAGAGTGGTGCTGACATCACCAAGTCAAGGGTTAAGATCCCCTTACCGGTCATCTTTAAAAAAAAAAAAAAAAGCACTTTTTTCCCACTGTGAACAAGGAAATGCTGGTTTCCCTTTTTAAGGATTTTTTTAGGATAAATGTCTGTCAAGTTGAAGAATGATATAAGAAGAGCCAACATCTTTACCCCCACCAATGCCAAGTCCCAGAATCCTTTCTGCAGGCTGGACCCAGCCCAGAGCCTTAGTTTCCCCTTTGAGGTATCCCACTGGTGCTGAGTAGTCAGAACCAGCAAGGCCACAGACCCCCGGGCTCCCTACCTCCCACCCGTCCACACAGGAGAGGGAAGCATGAGGACACGTACTTGTAGACGGTGTTGTCCTTCTTGGGGCTGTGCTGCGGCAGGAGGCTATGGGAGTACTGGTGCACGCCCAGGTCGTACAACGAGGGGAAGTCCTTGCCACAGAGGTGGCACCGGTAGCTCAGCTCTTCCTGGTGGCTCTTGATGTGCTCCAGAAATGTGTCAAGCTTTGGGAACGTCTGAGCACAGCTTTTGACAACGCACTTGTACACCTGGAGGGAGGATGCTGGGCAGGTAAGGGGAGGCAGGAGACCTGCCCACTGCCACTCCCTGTCCTGTGATATTGGCCTTGAACACTGCTAGTGGATGACCTGACTACTGGTCCCCCTGTTCCCCTGCTGCTGGAACTCCAGTTTCATTTTAATTAGAGGGTTCCCTCCTCACAATGACAATGGCCCCATTACCCCTCCCTCACGCTCTGTGTGGCCCGAGTGTATTTAGAAAAATTATCTAAGACCTGGAAATACAGTGAAATGGTGACAGCATGTCCATTCAATGTCATGCTGGAGTAGTGCCTCTCAAACATGAGCGGGGATCAGAATCACAGATGGCTGGGCACTATGCCCAGAGGATCTGATTCGGTAGGTCTGGGTGGCCTGACTATGTGCAGTTCCTAATGAGGAATAATCTGGTGATGCAGATGCTGCTGGTCTGAGCACCTCACTTTGAGAACTGCTGTCTAACAAGCTGCCTAGGGTCATCTCAGTCTCTGGGGGATGTGGCTAGTTGTGACTTTACTAATGACTAGGACCCAGACTCTAAAGTTAATTGTTAACTTATCAAAAGCTGATCCGATGTAACTAATTTTTATCAGGCATAGAAGATAATCCGAAAGGTCATAAATTTTGTTGCCCTGTAGGATATTAACCAGATTTGTGTCTAACTTAGCAACCTGACTTCAGTATTCCTTTTTTTTCATTGACAATTATATACAGGTATAGATATCAGTGTCTCATATCTTCTTTTGAACCTGCTTTGTCATTTTTCCAACTCTCTCATTAACGAGTTAAGTAAAATTCTGACTCATGTTCAGAGTTTCATTTGCATGAAAATTACGTTTTTAACATTTTGAAGATTATACTTTGATAAGTGGTACATACTCCTGGTTGCCTACACAATATCACACACTTCCTTTTCCTAACAAAGTGAGCCCTGATTTGCTCAGGGTGGCAACATGCCTAGTTAAGACACTTGATCCCCCTGGCTCCCTTGTATTTAGTGTCATCCATGTGACTCCTTTCTTGCCAATAATATGTAGCCAACAGTCTTAGGGAATGGCATCACTCAGAAGGAAAAGGCAAAAGCTTCCTAGGAGAAATCCCCTCTGCTTTTTGCATTTGTCCTGACTGGAATATAGATGCAGTAGACAGAGATACAGCAGCCCTCTTTCAACCTTGAGGATAAATGCTACAAGCTAAGGATGGCAGAGCAGAAAGCTAGAAGAAGCTATAAGGAGCCTGAGTCCATGATGAGATATCTGACCTGCAATTCAAGCCCAACACTGCCTACTTATGGACTTCTTTTGATGTGAGAGAAGTAAAACCCTAACTCTTAAGCCAGTTTTCTATTATTTGCAGCACAATAGTGAATTCCTAAGTGACAGAGCACATGCACTGGCCCTGACCAATGAGAGATCTACAGAGTGCTTCTAGGAAAGGTTTCCTTGCTCCTAAACAAGACAGAAAAGATAACTCCTTTTTGTTCATGGATAATACTATGTCTGAACTGCTGCCTAGAAAGAGTGATCACCATCCCAGGATCACAAGGTGAGCCATCAGTAAAGGACAAGGCCACCCCTGAAATGGCAGAGACCACAGCAGGAAAGACACAGGGTCCTTGATGCTGGACTGAGTCAACTGATCATCTCAGGCCTGCAGCTACCTTGCCTCAAGCCTCTTGTTATGTGAGATGACAAATTCCCTAACTGTTTAAATCAGTTTGAGTCAAAGTTTTCTGTGATTTGCCCCAAGGGTAACCTAACCTCACTCCACCAACCCCCATGCTGGGAATCTATCCTAAGGAAAAAGTGAGAGCTGTGGATAAAGATTTGATTGACTGATGCTCACCCCTTTCTAGGTAGCATTCAAGACCCTGACACCAGCCAAGGCTCACAACTCTGGTGGCTATCACCCCTGCTGCCTGCCACCCACCTACCTGCTCATTCTTATGCTGGGTCATGTGGGACTTGAGCTGGAAGTACGTGCTGAACTTGTTGGGACAGAACTGGCACAGGTAGGAGCTATCGATGAGGACCACCTGCTTGGTCTCCAGCTTATCCCCCTCGTCCTTGCTGGCCGAAGGCAAGGCCTGGGCCTGAGGTGTACTCGCCAGGGTCTGGCCCAACCCTATGGGGAAAGCCAGGGAGGGAAGTCACTGAGAAAGGTCAAGAAGAGCCAGGACACGGAGCCACGCCATTCAGGAAGGACCCCCAGAATGCCTGTTGCGTGTTCCTCTGTGTTCACCCCACCACCTATTATGTGCTTGGTGTTGGATACTGTGCTCAGGGTGCTGCACCCACATTTAGCTGATGTGCACTGATATGACCATTGCAGATGCTAAAATACTGTAATACTTACAATCTGATTGAGAAACACCTATTTCCTGAAGTCTCTGTTCCCTTGCCTTCCTCTCGGACACTGTAGACCTCTCCATGGTTATCAAAAATTCAGAGCATCCCTGCTAGTTTTACTATTAATGCCTCCTCAGCACCTTGTTCTAATTTTTTTTTTTTGGCAGCTGGCCAGTACAGGGATCGAACCCTTGACCTTGGTGTTTATAAGGACCATGCTCTAACCAACCAAGCCAGCACTCCTTGTTCTAATGATAGTCATCTGTTTTACTGTCCTTCCCTCACTAGACTGTTCCTCCATCTCCTTTGCATCAGAGACCTCTGATCTCATCTCTGTAGGCTCAGCGGCCTGGCATATAGTAGGCCTCCATAAATGTTTGTAAAATGGTTGAACCTTTGGTGCTAGGTATGTACAAGTTTTGAAAGAAATGGAAGAAATGGTTTCTTCTCTAAGGGGCTCACAAGAATTCAGAGGGCACACAGTAGGGATAGTTCCAACAGCAAGCATGATGGGAGGTTAGAGAAAAGTGGCCACATGTTGCTTGCCCAGCAAAACACCCCCTTCATTAGCTGCCATGTGGCTGGCATTGCTTACCCTTGGGGCTGCATGAGAAAGGCTTAGGCTCTGGCCCTGCGCTGTCAATCCAGTGGCCATGAGCCATGTGTGGCTACTGAGAACTTAAAATGTGGTCAGTCCAAAATCCAGATGTGCTATAAATGGAAATATACACTGGATGTCAAAAATGTAGTACTAAAAATGAATGTAGAGGGCTGGCTGTTTAGCTCACTTGGTTAGAGCATGGTGTTGATGATACCAAGGTCAAGGATTTGAATCCCTGTACTGGCCAGCTGCAAAAAAAAAAAAGGAATATAAAATATCTCACTAATAATTTCTTTATATTACATGTTAAAATGATATTAATACATTGGGTTAAATAAAATATATGATTAAAATTAACTTCATATATATATATATTTTTTTTTTTTTTAAAAGATGACCGGTAAGGGGATCTTAACCCTTGACTTGGTGTTGTCAGCACCACGCTCAGCCAGTGAGCGAACCGGCCATCCCTATGTGGGATCCGAACCCGGGGCCTTGGTGTTATCAGCACCGCACTCTCCCGAGTGAGCCACGGGCCGGCCCTAACTTCATATTTTTAAACTGTTTTTAAAATAGCTACTAGAAAATTTTAAATGATCTATGTTGTTTATATTATATTTCTGCTGGACAGCACTGCTGTAAACCTAGTAAGTCCTCAGCTCTCATGCAGGTGAGGAATTAAATCAATATCAGAAACAGGATCATGAGCTCAGGGAAAATCAATGATTAGATGAGAATCCCAGGATGGATAAAGGGCTTTGGACACCAGTTGTACACAGGGGTCAAATAGGTTTCAACTCCTGATCAACTATAGTAACTGCCTGTATAGTGACTGCTTGGAGCAATATATTGAAAATAGATTCTGAGGGCCGGCCCGGTGGCGCACTGGAGAGTGCGCCGGGCGCTCCCGCCGAGGGTTTGGATCCCACATACAGACCGGTTCCCACTCACTGGCTGAGCGAGGTGCGGGCACAACACTGAGGGTTGCGATCCCGTTGCCAGTCCCCGGTGCGGACGCAACACCGAGGGTTGCGATCCTGTTGCCGGTCCCCGGTACGGGCGCGACACCGAGGGTTGCGATCCCGTTACCGGTCAGTAAAAAAGACAAAAAGGAAAAAAAAAAAAGAAAATAGATTCTGAGATGGGATACAGGCTTGGAAACAAAAAAATGTGATTGATTAGTGATGTCTAGCATGGCCATAGTATCAGAGTAATGCCACACAGATTGTATACTAGGGTAATTCAAAAGGTTCACGAAAGGGCTTGCTAGTTAACTCGGTTGGTTAGAGCATGGTGCTGATAACACCAAGGTCCAGGGTTCAATCCCTGCAACAGCCAACTACCAAAAAAAAAAAAAGTTCATGGAAAGATTCACATTATCTTTCAATTCTATTTTTCCATGAATTTCTTAAAATACCCTCGTATTTGTCATCCTTCCTTTCATCCTATTTATAAAGTACACTAAAGCCCAGAGAGGTCAAGGAATGTGTCCAAGGTCACACAGCTAGCAACAAAACCTGTGAAGCAGCAGAGGAGAGGTGTGGGGAGAGTGGCATTCCCCATTTCCACCCACCTGTGTTTTCCTCATCATCCTCCCTGCTGGGGTTCAGAGCCATGACCTGTACTGTCACAGAGTTGCGAGAAACGGTGCTACCACTGCGTCCTGGAGGCCACACCTTGTGGGTCTGCATGTGTTTCTTGACATTAGACTTCTGGGCAAAGGCACGGCCACATGCAATGCACTGGAAGGGCTTCTCACCGGTGTGGCTGCGGGAAACAAGGCTTGTCAGCACCGTCGCGTAGGAATACAGACACGGCCTCAGCCCCAGAGCTCACAGCCACCAGGAAGGCCCAGAGGGAGCATCCAGATGCTGCTGGCCACCACTCCAACACCATGGGGACAAGCCCTCTCACTGAGGCAGGCAGACCAGAGATGGAAAGACCTCAGGCCCTTGAACACATTACTGAGCTGCTGAATCAGCCAACCCTGAGCTGACCTCTTCTGTGACCATCTTGTACTGTGAAATAAAACATTTCCTAATTGTTTAAGTCCATTTAAGTGGGGACTTCCGTTACTCGAAGGAGAAAACATCTTAGCTGTCACAGCACAGCACTTGTACCACAATTTGCTTTACTTCAAATCAATGTGCTTTTTTAAAACTTAAAATAATTTTAAAATTATTTAAATAAACTTGTCATAAATACAAAATAACCCCCAAAATTGCAAAATCTAGAGCTGCACTGTCCAATAATGTAGACACAAGCCACATGGAACTATTAACATATAAATTCGTTAAAATAAAATAGGGCTGGCTGGTTAACTCAGTTGATGAGAGCACAGCCTTATAACACCAAAGTCACAGGTTCGGATCCCTGTACCAGTTAGCTGCAAAAAATTGATTAATTAATTAATTAATTTAATTTAATTAAAAATTCAGAAGATGGCGGAATAGACGGTCCCCAGCATCACCCTCTCCTACAAATCAACAAATTTACAACTATAAAAATATAACATCAGGGGCTGGCCCGGTGGCGCACTGGATAAGTGCGCCACTTGGGAAGCGTGGCGGCGCTCCCGCCCGAGGGTTCGGATCCCACATGCAGACCGGTTCCCGCTCACTGGCTGAGCAAGGCGCGGGAGCAACGCCGAGGGTTGCAATCCCGTTGCCGGTCCCCGGTCCGGTACGGGGGAAACACTGAGGGTTGCGATCCGTTGCCGGACACGGAAAAAGACAAAAGACAAAAAATATATATATATATATAACATCAGCCAAGCTGGGGCCACTGGAGCTCAGGGGATGAGGAGGAGAGACCTACGGAGTTCATAAAGGTGGGAGAAACCACGATGAGAGGGAGAAAAAACTGCTCTCAGCATTTCAGGCTGCGGCCACTTTAATGCTGGAGCGCATGGAGCAGGAGCCGGCAGAAGCCGCAGCTGTGCCCTTCATTTTTTTTTTTTTTGTGACCGGTAAGGGGTTCGTAACCCTTGGCTTGGTGTCGCCTGCACCGCATTCAGCCAGTGAGCACACCGGCCATCCCTATATAGGATCCGAAACCGCGGCCTCAGCGCTACCAGCACCGCTGTGCTCCCAGCGCCACACTCTCCCGAGTGAGCCAGGGGGCCGGCCCAGCTGTGCCCTTCATATGGAGTTACTTTGGTGACCCCCAGGACAGCAAGTTCACTACTAGGGTTCCCGTGCAGGAGCGAGGGGCCAGAACAGCTGAAAAAGGGGAGCCATTCAGAACCGGTGAGTCACCGCAAGGGACTGGCACAGGGCCTGTCCCATGGGAAGTGTTTGGAGCATGGGTGGTGGGGGAGACGGGCCCACCAGGAGAACACTGGGACACAGCAAGGACAGCTGATCTGCCCCCCAATCAATTCAGGACCACTCAGAGGGGACTGGTCAGGAATGCAGAATTGCATTGAGTTCAATTTGATGAAAAAATTCAGGCTCAGATTGGAGTTTCTACACAACCCAGGTGCACCGAATACCTGGAGAGCCGGAAGTACCTATAAGGTCAACCATTAAACCCTGAGCTGCACAAAAAGCCTTCCCTAGGGAATCAGCAGCAAAGCAGCAATTTATTCAACCACACAGCTCAAGTACTGGTTCCCACAGGAAGTTCCTCCATGTTAGAAGTAAGCATAGGACAAAAAGTTGGTTCTGGCCCAGGCATGCCAGCAATGCCTTAGGGCCCACCACGGGACATGAGGCATAGAGCCAGGGGCAGGACCACAACCACTCACACGACCAGCACCTCGGGGCCCTGCCCAGGAGCCTGAGGATTAGAGCCAGGACCAGACCCCACTCCCACATCCAGGCACACCACCAATGCCTCGGGTCCCACTGGGGGACATGGAGCTAGCAGCTGGGGACTAGACCCCCTTCCCAGACCTAGGAACACCGTGACAATGCCTCAGGGCCCCACCTAGGGGCCTGAGACATGGAAAAGGGGACCAGACCCCCCGCCCCGCAACCAGGCACATCTCTTCAGCGCCTCAGGGCCTGCACAGGGTCCCAGGGCATGGAGAAGGGGACCAGACCCCCCTCCTGCAACCAGGCTCACCATGCCAGTGCCTCGGGACACGCCCAGGGACTCGGGGTATGGAGCCAGGGATCGGACACTCTCCACAACCAGGCACACTGCCAGCACCAAGGTACATGCTAAAATCATCTCCTCCATGTGGGTGGCCCACGCAGCCACCACAATATCTATGGCTGCTGCAAAGTCAGCTAGACGCCACAACTACCACGCAGATGGTCCACCAGCCACTGGAGGAGTGCATTGACACAAGAAGAGTCACCAGCAGAGATAAAGAAAGAAGGAGGATGTCTTTCCCCTCAGAGCCCATTTCAGAGTGACAGAAGAGGCATCTGCTCTGTGATTGTATTGGGGGACCTGATCATGCCTCTCAGCATTGGACAGATCATTTTGGCAGCAAATCAACAGAGCAACCATTATTCTTTCAGAGGGAGAGAAGAAATCTAGGATAATTAGAGGGGGCAAGGGGGAGCGAAAAGGGGATGGGGAGGGATTGGACAAGGGGCATAAAGAATAATTATGATTTGTAACAATATATATGCTAGTAATATTGATTTGATCAACATATCTCAATGTTGAACGCCAAAAATACGTATAATCAATTCTGATTCAATAAAAATTTTAAAAAAGAAATTAAAAATTCAGTTTCTTAGTTGCACTGGCCACATTCCAAGTGCTCTCAGTAACCATATGTGGTTAGCAGCTACCATATTAGACAGTGCCACTTTCAGCATTTCTATCATTGCAGAATGTTCTACTGACAGCACTAGTGTAGATCAGTGGTCCTCAACTGAGATCGATTTTGCCCTCCAGGAGACATTTGGCAATGTTTGGAGACATTTTTGGTTGTCACAGCTGAGGGTGGGGTGAAACTGGCATCTAATGATTAGAGGTTGGGGATCTGCTAAGCATTCTACAATGTACAGGTCAGCCCCCCACAGCAAATAATGATGTCATCGAAAATGCGAAATGTCAGTAGTGCCACGGTTGAGAAACTGGTCTAGAGAGAAGCTGTTGCCTCCATGGTTGGCACCTGAAGGTTGCTCTCTAGGAGATGAGCAGTATACAAGAGGCATTAAAGACAGGCACCAAATTGAGGCTTTCTCTATCAACTCTTCAAGGACTGAAATTGCAAAGAGAATAGTTTTCTCATTACATATTTTAGAACTTTTCAACACCATATCTGTGAACCACCTAAAATCATCTTATGTACCAATGTATCCCAATCTGTGAGAAACATTGAACAAGCCTACCCATCCATTTCACAGATGGAAAAATCAAAGCCCAGAGGGACTTCTTGCCTGTTCATTGGACAAGAGGTATCGTGGTTAGTCCTGAGTGAGCAGAGAACTCATAGAGTTATATTGGCAGAGCACAGCAGCAGTGGTAGGTCAGCCTTTTCTGCAGAGGTGAGGACAGAGGCACCCCCACATGTCTGCAAAGCTTCTCTCAGTTCAAGTGCATTTCCTCCTCCACCCCACCCCACCCTGACCTTCCCCGTTGTGGTGGGCAGGCCCCACTACTGTCCCAGGTCCCTACCACTGCTCCTGAAAGAAAAGAGGGAAAACCATGTTAAGGTGGACTACAGGCCTGAACACCATGACTGGATAGATGGGGCCTGGGTTGCCACCCAGGCAAGGGGGATGAGATGGGAGCCTCGATTCCACACAGATGGTCCCCCAGCCAGGGTTGCCTGGCAGCCACCTGCCCTCCGTGCCTGCGTACCTTCGGATATGCTGCTGCAGGTCAAAGTTTTTGGTGAATGATTTGTCACAGTATGAACACTTGAGTTTCTGAGCCTTTGGCTTTCCTGCAGCTGAAAGACAAAGTGGGGGGAGGGGGTGGTGAGGCTGGGGGCACAGCTGAGGGTGCCAAGGGCAGCCCCCAGCCATTCCACCTCCTGGACCTGGGGCCAGACAGCCCACACCCCAGGAAATGTACATCCATGCACAGGCCACGCAAGAGGCACAGAAGAGCTTCTCACAGTGGGCAGGGAAGAAAGCCTAGGACAGGCTCTGGCTGAGAAAGCATGAAAAGCCCCTCAGAGGCCCCCCTTTGCTCTAGGATAAAACCCAAACTCTCTGCTATTGCCCACAGCACTCTGCATCCTCTGACTCCTGCCAACCTCATCGTTCCCTCCATCCAGCTGCAGTGGACTCCTTGCTAACCTTAAAAGACTTCACACATGGTCCCACCTCAGGGCCTTTGCACTTGCTATTCCCTCTTGCCTGGAATGCTTGTCCCTCAGATACCCACGAGGCTGCTTCCTTCATTTCCCCCAAGTGGATAGGTGGCACAATTTTCCAGCCTCACCCCAGTTATACTCAGTCAAAGTACCCTGTTAATCTCCTTCCTAGAACAACTCATAAATATTCATTTATTCCCTGTCTGTCTCTCCTGTTAAACTGAGAGTAACTGAGGGCGGAAGAAATCATGGACCAAGATATTGGATCCCTAGTGCCTGGCACAGAGCCTGGCACACAGATGCTCAACCCATATTTGTGGAAGGAAAGAAGGGAAGAAGTGGTTGACTGGAAAGCCCCTGAAAATTTCTCAATTTCTCTTCCCTCTGTCCACACCCTGCTTCTGACATTGTCTCCCACCCTGTACTTAGCATCTCCAATGGGGCAACAGATACTGCTGCTTGCCTACCTAATATCCACTCTCTCCTTCTTCCGACCACATAAATCCCCTTTATAATGGAAACATCAAGTTTCCTGGCTAAAAGAGACATTTCCCAGCTTTCTTTGCAGCTAGGTAAGCTACTTGACTAAGTTTTCACCAATGAGATGCAAGCAAAAGTATCATACAGAACTTCTGGAAGCTGGGAGATACCCTTTTATTCTTCCATCTCCCTTATTCTTACTGCCTGCAATATGAAATTGATATGGATTGGACCATCATAGACCATGAGGCACTCTGATACCTGAAGAGCCATGTTCTGGGGATGGCAGACCAAAAAGATAAAAGAAATGTGGGTGGCTGGTAACCATGCAGTCACATGATCTGCAGACCGTGTGCTTCTGGCCTTATTTTACACAGGAGATAAACAAAATTCTATCATTTTGAAATCACTGTTATTTTGGATTTTCCATTACATGCAACCAAGCTTAACCCTAACCATCATAAAAGGGAAGACCAGAACCAAGCAGCCTGTGAATAAGCCAGTGCTGAGGGAGGATGCCCATAGCTGGCTGGGACCCACCTTCCGGAAGTCCACTGGCACCTTTAGCCCGTCGGGTCTTCAGTGTTGGTGGGGAGTCAAAGGTGGCCACCGTGCCACCAGTGGGACTCGTCATGGGGGCAGCGGGGTTTGGTCCTTTTGGTTTGAATCCCTGTTTGCCAGGGCTATACACTGGGGGGGTGGGGTACACCGGAGCCTCCACACACTGGTTTGGCACCTAGAAGGACAGCACAGTCAGTGAAAGAGCCCTGGGAAAGCACTGGCCCAGCCACATCACCATCCTAACACCACTACCTAGCTCAGACACCCCAGTCACTCCCAAGAGCCCTTGGAACTTCATGAAGCCAGTAGGCCTGAAGCAGCTTTGGAGCCAGGCTGCCTGAGTTAAAATCCTGACTCTGCCACTTACCACCTAAGTGACCCTGGGCATCTTTTAACTTCTCTGTCTCAGTTTCTATGTGGTAAAATGGGGCTAATCGTAGTACCCCTCATAAGATTGTCGTAAGGATTAAATGAGGTAACATGTAAGGAGCTTAGAACAGCGGCGGGCACATAGTAAGCACTCAATAGCATTAGCTGTTATTATTGCCATTATTATTAGTAGCAGTAGTTTGTTGCACAAGAGAACCAGGAAGTCAGAAGGGTCTGTGCCCTCACCAGCTACTCCAGTTCCTGACACCACTGTTACTCCAGCCTTCCATCAGCTTTGTGAGCACCTAACTTCCTGTACTAAATCCCTCTACCAGAAATACCTAGCATGATTTCTATTTTCCTGACCAAACCCTAACCAATACAACACTCAATAAACATTTGTCACAGGAATGAATTTCCATTACTGAAGGCATTACTGAGCAACTACGTGACTGCCACCGGGTTAGACTCTCATTATCAAAAGCTGTGCAAGGAGAGTTCTCATTTTAGAGAAGGGGAAACTGAGGTCTGAGGGCCCTATTTAAGCTACCTACTAGAGGTATTCCACAGGCCAGGTGCTCTGCTATGTGCTAAAGATGCAAAGCCAAATAAGACTCAGGCTCTGCCCTCAAAGAGCACCCTCATCTACGTGGAAAAAAAAAAACAGCAGCCCCCCTCCCACCCTGTGCTGGCCCCCTCTGTCTAGCAAACCACCAGCATCATCTCAGCATCCCAATGACTTAAATTTTTTCCAATTCAATAAATTCCTTAGGGAAGCTTGCTCTATTCTCCTAGGCTAGCACAAAACCCCCTGCAGGCTCTCATAACATCACATGCCTTGTGGTGGGATCTTTCCACTGGTCTGGGCTCTTCTTACATACAGATACAGCTGACATGGAATGTCTGTATGCCTAGATTCTAGGGTTGAGTCTGGGTTAGTGTGACCTCAGGTGCAGGCAGGCTGTGTCTGTGACAACCCTACCCTTTAGCACTGGTGTCTGGGAAGGTTCTATGAACTCCCAGCACTTTAAGAGTAGACTGCCCAGGGCTTGGAGCACATCAGCAGGGAATTAATATGGTACACTGATTGCATAATGGCCCTGATTCTTTATCCCTCCCCATATCTTTGCCTTTCCAGTATAACTCTGCAGCTCTTCCCATCAAGAGGTGGCATCTATTTCCCTATCCCTTGCTTCTAAGCTGGCCTCGTGACCTGCTTTGGCCAATAGAAGTGATACTATCATTTACAAACCTAAGCCTCAAGAGGCCTTGAGCATTTCTGCTTGCATTTTTGCATCTCCACCATGGCCACGAGAACCTGCTGGAGGATGAGAGTTGCATGGAGCAGAGCTGAGTCATCCCACTTGTCCCAGCCCAAGCCATCCCAGAGCAGCTGACAGCCAGCCGACCACCAGACATGTTGTGAGCCCAGCCAAGATCAGCAGCGTTGCCTAGCTAAGCACCGTAAACACATGAACAATAAACACTTTTTGCCATATACCACTGAGGCCTTGAGGATATTTCTTACACAACAATAGCTAAGTGATACACCTAGCTTCTTAAAAAATGTAAGAGATACTTATGCAGATAATTTTTTGGAATCCTCTCTCCAAAAGGCAAGTATTCCCTGACTGTTCTGAGCATTACCTGAGGGCAGCTTATATTTCTGCTATAACTTCTGTTTCATCCACCTTCTCAGAGTTTGCATTTTACATTTGTAGGTGGGATGCTTTGATTAAAGTCCTTCTCTCCCATGATGCAGTACCCTACACGAGGGCAGGGATTGGGTCTGGTTCTGTACCCCACCAAATCCCAACACAGTGCCTGGCACACAGTTGGTGCTCAGGAAAGGTCCAGCTCACCCATGACACCACAACCAGTTCTTCCCCCTTTGGCCCATTCCCCACCTTTGCTCACCTCCAGGGGTGGATAGGGCTGCATTCCCAGTGCCTGGATCTCCACCGTTCCACTCCCAGCCAGGGGCGCAGTGGCACTGTACACCTCCACCACGCCATTTCCACCAGGGTTGGGACGCCCAGGGGGGCCCAGACTCTGGGGTGGGGGAGGCGGGGGGTGGGGGGCTGGGGGGGGGGTGGGTGGTGGAGGAGGTGGAGGAGGTGGTGGAGGCTGGGTGAGGTAGCTGGGCACAGAATGCATGTTCAGGCTGCTCTGAAATCAGAAGAGAAAATTAAAGTGTTATAGCCTCTTGATAGTAGCTATCTTGTTTATCAATGAGGAAGGGCATTTGCCTTAGCCAGCTACATGGAAAGAACAGCTGCTCAGAGGATGGGGCTGAGAGGCAGCAGGGAAACAAAGTCACAGGAGAATTTACAGGAGGTGTCAGCTTGGTGCTGCAATCCCTTTTCTATATGAAAGTCAGCAAAAATGACCCAGTTCATGCAGGGAAGGGTTAATAGAGCAGGCCTAATGTTACTATCTTATTAGGGCTTGTTTGGAGGACTGGCTCTTGATTGGCATCTGAGAACTTGGCTTGTGGAAGCTTCCCTTCATTAATAAGGCTGTTTTGCCCACCTGTCTATACTGTATGAGCTCACCTAGACTGCTTAAACCATTTGATTTATGGTGAACACCTCCTTCTCTTCTGGGGTTCTGGGATTTTGGTTATGATGTCTGGTCACCTACATGACTAATCTCCAATAAAAACCGCGGCCTCTGAGCCGTTAAGCGTATTTCCCTGGGCAGAGACACTGCGTACATTTGCTGTGCCGCACTGTGGGAGGAGAAGCGCGTTTTGTGCAGCTTCTCCCCTCTTCCCCAGGAGAGAGAATGTTGGGAACCTGCTCCTGGATTCCTCCAGATTCCACCAATGTGTCTTTTCCCTTGGCTAATCTTGCTGTGTATCTTTCTGCTGTAATAAACCACAGCCATGAACACAACCACCCCTGAGTCCTGTGAATCTTTTTAGAGTCAATGAATGTGTAAATGGTTGTGAACTCCTGAAACACAGCCACTAATTTCTAGAAATTTATTCTACAAAAATAATTAGGCAGGTGGGCAAAGATATATGTACATGGATGGTTACTCTTGTAGTTTTTATAACAGCAAAAAATGGCAATGACCTATATGTCCACCCACAGAAGCCTGGCTAAATAGAGGATGGTCTATCCATATGATGGAATCCTTTGTGTCTGTTAAAATGATGATGCTGGTCAGTATTTCATAAAGGGTGCTCCTCTTCATTGCTGTTCCTTGGGTTCCATAGTCAAATATATTTGAGAAAAAATCTGTATTGACAAAATCGAAAGTATTTCTTTACTGCAGGAAAAACCCAGGGACAGAGTGAAGTAGAACGCCTCTACCCTAGGCTGGTTTGAGCAGAGATCCTTCTTGTATTGGAAAATTCCAAGAAGCCACTGTGTATTTTCCAATGTTTTTCCAATGGACATGGGACACTTTTGTTAAGAATAAAAACAGGAGTCAACATTGCTGGACTCCAGCTATGAAACCTCACATGTTCTGGGTCTCCACCTGAATGTAGCACCTACAACAAAGCTGGCCAAGGGGAAGGCTGACAGTCCCCCTCCATGTGAGGGAGAGCTAGGGCCAAGCCTACTTTTTCCTATAAGATTCTGAATCCACAGGAGTTAACAGGCAGGCCTAGAATCAAGACCCTGTTGGGGCCGGCCCGTGGCTCACTCGGGAGAGTGCGGTGCTGATAACACCAAGGCCCCGGGTTCGGATCCCACATAGGGATGGCCGGTTCGCTCACTGGCTGAGCATGGTGCTGACAACACGGTTCGGATCCCACATAGGGATGGCCGGTTCGCTCACTGGCTGAGCATGGTGCTGACAACACGGTTCGGATCCCACATAGGGATGGCCGGTTCGCTCACTGGCTGAGCATGGTGCTGACAACACGGTTCGGATCCCACATAGGGATGGCCGGTTCGCTCACTGGCTGAGCATGGTGCTGACAACACCAAGTCAAGGGTTAAGATCCCCTTACCGGTCATCTTTTAAAAAAAAAAAAGACCCTGTGAGAAGCCCGCAGCCTCCTTACCTGCACAGGTGGGGGCCCTTGGGGCATGGGCTGGTCCAGGGATGTGAAGGCTGACATGGCAGACATGAGCACGTCATCGCTTACCAAGATGTTCCCCTGTACCAGGGTTTGGATCAGCGGGGACGGGGGCACTGTGATGTATGTGGAGATCTGGACAGAGAGACAGAGAGAGAGAGAGAGAGAGAGAAGGAGGATATGTCTGAGGCTCTATAAGAAAGCTGAGGGTATTATGCAAAGCTCCAGGTTCCAGAGTCCCACAGAATTGGGTTCCATTTCCACCTCTGCTGTGTGACCCTTTGTGACCCTGGGCAAGTCACTCCACCTCTCTGAGCCTTCATTTAATCACCTACCAAATGAAGAGAAAAAGTCATACTTCTCTGTAAGGCATATACCCTATGACCCAGCAATAATATTTCCTGGTATGTATCCTAGACACACTCACACATGTCCACAGGAAGTGAACAAATGAGAGTATTCTGTACAGCCTTGTTTCTAATAGTGAAAAGCTATAAATAACCTAAATGTCTATCAATAAGAGAATGGATTTAAAAATTATGCAATAGGCTGGCCAGTTAGCTCAGCTGGTTAGAGTGCAGTGTTATAACACCAAGGTCAAGGGTTCAGCTCTCCATACTGGCCAGCCACCAAAACAAAAAAAAAAGAGAGAGAGAAAATAAAAATTATGCAATATTGTCATGGGATAGAATACTATACAGCATGAAAAATCAAATTACATAATAATATGTAGATCACATACTTTTATTTTTAAAAATTTAAAACAATAGTACTAAATAATTCCTGCAGTTAATAAATAAGTATGAAAGTACCTTAGGTCAAGAAGGATATCCATCAACAGTTACCTGGGGGCCAGGAAGAGGAACAGTGCCAAAAGAGCCTTGATTTGTTTTTGGGCGGGTTTTTTTGGCAGCTCGCCAATTTGGGGATCTGAACCCTTGACCTTGGTGTTATAACACCACACTCTAACCAACTGAGCTAACTGGCCAGCCTTGATTTGTAACATTCTTTTATTTATTTATTTATTTATTTTTAAAGCTGTTGCTTTTTGGGCGGGGGGGCAGCTAGCCAACATTCTACCTTTAATTAATTTATTTATTTTTACTATTATTCTCCTCATTTTATTTATTTTTGGCAGCCAGCACACGGATCCAAACCCTTGACATTGGTGTTACCAGCACCATGCTCTCCCAAGTGAGCCACCAGCCAGCCCCAACATGCTAACCTTTAAAAAGGAGAAGGGAGGGGCCGGCCCGTGGCTCACTTGGGAGAATGTGGTACTGATAACACCAAGGCCACGGGTTCGGATCCCATACATAGGGATGGCCGGTTGGCTCACTGGGTGAGCGTGGTGCTGACAACACCAAGTCAAGGGTTAAGATCCCCTTACCGGTCATCTTTAAAAAAATAAATAAAATAAAAATAAATAAATAAAATTAAAATAAAAAGGAGAAGGGAAGCATGTGTTACTTACAAATATACAAGTTAATAATAAAAATAATATCGTACTCAGGGCCATAGTGAAAATGACAGGTAGACCTTATAAGAAAGTGTCAAACATCAATGATTGCTCCTCTCAGCAGCTATAAAGGGTGCTTTGTTTTGTTTTGTTTTTTTCTTTACTGACAGGCCCTTGGCATCTTCCTAGTTCCCTGGCATCTTCCTAATTCACTGGTCTCTGTGAAACCTCCAGGCACAGCAGCAACTGGGCCCAGGGACCCAAAATCCCTGTTCAGAGATGGGATGTCTTTGACCTTCACTAAGCAAGGGCAGCCTGGCAGGGTGGGGAAATGCCCGGAAAGGCAGTGTAGATTCTAGCTCATTTGTATCTTTACAATGTCACACAAGTTAGGCTGAGACAAAATATGGGGAATCACATCCATGTTCTACCAGGACACTTAGGCAAGGGGATTTGCGTTTGCCCATAACTGACTGCTTGTGTTCTGAGGTTATTTCCTTACCCAGGACTGGAGGAAATTCACTCTCTCCTTTTACTGAAAAAAAAAAAGGAAGAGAGGGAAATATTTTCTGCTAGCAAAACTCGTAATCAAGGAGTTAGAAGAATGACTGTGTTCTATGCTGGAAGATATCTGTGGAAACCTGAAATGTTTCAGTCTATATGTCCTATAGGTCTGTGGGTGAATGCTTTTATTTTGATGACAGGAATTATGTCTATACAGTGGAAGAAAATAATGTTTTAAAGGAATAAGAAGGGCCGGCCCGTGGCTCACTCGGGAGAGTGCGGTGCTGATAACACCAAGGCCCCGGGTTCGGATCCCATATAGGGATGGCCGGTTCGCTCACTGGGTGAGCGTGGTGCTGACAACACCAAGTCAAGGGTTAAGATCCCCTTACCGGTCATCTTTTAAAAAAAAAAATAAAATAAATAAATAAAGGAATAAGAAGAAAAGAGGAAGCCAGAGGGAAATCTGACTCCTTGACTTAGCATCCTGAGACATGCCTGGCCTCCGTTATGAGGAATTCTTTAATCTTTTTAAGAGCCCCCCAACCCAGGGTGTCTTTGCTCGAGAACCATGTTCTTGACTGAGGACTCCACAAGTTTCTCCAGATACCTCCAGCCTGATCCTCTCCTGTGACCTCCAGACTTGGAGGCCTACACTGTCAACATAGTCACCGCCTCCACTTAAAGGTCCAAGGGCATCTCAAATCTGAAGTGTCCAGCTGAACTCTTGACAACCCCCTAAAACCCTCTCCTCATAGTTTTCCCCACTTCAGATGATGGCAACTCCCAGTCCAGAGTCACCTTTGACTCTTCTTTATCTCATGCTCCTCACCCAATTGATCCATAAACTCTTTCAGCAACCCCATCAAAATATTTCTAAAACCTCAGCCCCTCTTACCACCTCCACTGCCACTACCATCCCCTTCCTGGATGTGTACAACAGTCCCCAATGGGTCTCCTGGCTTTTTCTCTTGCTCCTTCCCCCCATCAAAATCTATTCTGTGTAGAGCAGCCAGAGTGACCTGTCTAAAGTGTAAGCACACTATGTCCCTCCTCTGCTCCAAACCCTCCAATGGCTCCCATCTCACTCTGAGTAAAAGCCCACAGGGCCCACATGATTTGCCAGGACCCTCCTACTGCCTCTCTGACCTGTTGTCTCCCGTCCTTCTCCTTACCCACTCAGCCCCAACACTCTTAGCTCCTTGTAGTTCCTGGACTAAATCTAGCACACTCCCACCTCAGGGCCTTTGCACTTGCTGATCACTCCACCTAGAATGCTCTTCCCCAAACTAGCTGCATGACTCATTCCCTCAATTCCTTAGGTCTTTGCTCATATGCCACCTCTTCACAGAGCCCTTCCCCAAGCACCATATACAACATGGCAAAACCTACCACCCCTGTCTTGGTATTCCTTGTCTCTCTGCATTTAACATGCCAAAAAAAGTCTATCTTCATACATTTGTTTGCATACTATCCATCTCACCCAACTCCTCCAGGCAGTGACTTGGTATGTCTTGTCCATCGCCATGCCCCTGGTGCCTAGTCACAGTGTCTGACACACAGTAGGTACTCAAAAAAGATGTGCTGAATGAATGAATGAACAAATAAATGAATGATTACCTGGCGATTGGCAGGAGGTGGGGCCTGCTGGACCGCTGCAGGTGCTGCTGAAGGTGTGTAGATGCTGTTGGTAGCCAGTGAGACTGTGGCCAGGGTGGGGGCACTCCCCTGGCACTGCTCCCTCTTGTGGGTCATAAACACCGGCAGGGAGTTGAACTGCTTCTTACACTTCCCGCAGAGAAAGACATCTTCATCATCTAGGGGTCAGAGCCACAGAGGAGTGGGAAGGGGCCACAGAAGGATCAAAGTAAGAAAAAAAAAAAAAAAAAAAAGCAACAATAAGTCAGAAACAGGAGACCCGCAGCTGACCACGAGAACAGCAAATCTGAACAGCACCCCATGATTCGATGTGCATGTGTCAAGCATTGACTATGAGCCACCTAAGAGCTTTCTAAACCACACTGGCGCCCGCAGGAACAGCCAGCCATGTGCAGCCAGGCATCAAATAATTAGAAACTGGGAAATAGTAAAGTGGGTTTGCTTCAAAGTTGAGAAAGTCAGAGTCTTTATCCTGCCTGAATTTATTCATCAGTCCCCAAGTGGGCCATGTGATCACACTCCTCTGTGCCTTTGTATGCCCCTGCCAAACCACCTTTCTCAGAACAACATATTCTGCAGGGCTCAGCTCAAATGTCACCTCCTCTAGGAAGCCTTCTCAAAGCCAGTGGCCACAGTTCCTTCCTCTGGGCACACCTCTCATATCACAGTTTTGTCATCACCACCAGATGTAGTCCCCTAAGGGAAAGAAATGTGCCTTATTTATCACCATAACTGTGATAGCTCCTGGGCACATAGGAGGTCCTCAATGGATGTTTGTTGAATGAATGAAAAACTAAATGAATGATTAGCTACCGTTAACACTACCCATTACTGAGAGCCTACCATGGCCATGCATTGTGCCTAGCACTTAACATGTTGTAGCAAAAATGTCTAATTATTATTTAATTCTAATTGTATCCTTCTTATATAGTAATACAAATTTTACTGGGAAACATGGCTTCCTAAAGAATACATTTCCCAGCCTTCTTTGCAGCTAGGTATGTCATGTGACTGAATTCTGACCAATGGGACGAGAACAGAGGTATACTGTATATGCAACATCCCCTTAAAAGGAAAGGGTATGATTTCCACCTCCTTCTTTCTTCCCTTCATGTGGGCTGGAATATGGAAATCAAAGTTGGAGCTGGGGCAGCCATCCTGGATTGCATGTTGAGGGCAGCAGAGCCACAGAAAGAAGGGGTCTGACTCTCACCACACCCACCCCAAATGCCCATCAGGACTTCATGTAACAGAGAAATAAACTTTAATCTTGTAGAAACAATAAGAAACTTCTGTTTCTTATTTACAACAACTGCAATCAAATTCCAAGTACTCTCATAAGATTCCTATGAGGCAGGACAATTATCCCAGTTTTACATATGTGGAAATTGACGCACAGAGAGGTTAACTCACTTTCCCAGGGTCATAGAGCCAGGAACTGTGGGAACAAGTATTCAAACCCTGGTGTTTATCTCTCCGTCCCATGTGGTTCTCAAGTACTCAAAAATGTTTGTGGAATGAATAAAGAATACACAGACTCACAAAGAGCTTTCCAAGAGAAGGCCCTTGCCCTCTCTGTGTAAATTGGAGAAATTTATGCTCAGCCTGTTCTTCCCATAGAGCGGAAGCTGAGAAACGACTTCCAGGGCAAAGGTACAAATGTTGCCAAGTAGTGGGGCTCCTAGCCATTCCCTGGATCATGATCCCATCTCCCCACATTCACCAAGTACTTGAGAGAGGGTGTCCTCAGAGTTAAACAGAGAAAGATATGAGCCTGAAGATACAGGATGGGAAGAAGGCGAGAGGGTTCAGACTCCAGAGGACGTCCTGGGGACCACAGTGGGCAGTTCACTCCCATGTCCCATGTGAGCCCCACCTGTTCTTCATGTGGCCATTCACCCTTCCATGGGTAAACTTGAGCAGATACTCACCCAATGGCTGGATGGCAGGGGGTGCACTGACACTCTGGCCTGTTGGATCTGGGACTGCTCCTTGGCCATCCAACAATGACTGGACGGCCAGAACAGTCTGATTGTCCATTCCTGAATAAAGAAATGCAGTCTCTTTGGAAGCAGGCCCAGAATCCTCCTCTGACTTCATCCTTACAAGCCAGGCCCGCTGTGAAACATCCTTGGCAAAGATGGCTGGCTGTGCCCCAATATACATTCTCTCCTACTTCCACTGTCATAGATCCCAAGATTCCGGGCTGGAAACATGGTCCCAGAGCAAAGACTGTATTTACCAGCCTCTCTTGCAGCTAGGGAATGATTACATTCTGGCCAAAGGGATGAAAGTAAAGGTTTTTCATGGCAGCTTCGGGGAAGTTTTCTTCTCTTTTTTGGCAGCTGGCCAGTAAGGGGATCCAAATCCTTGACCTTGGTATTATCAGCACTACGCTCTGAGTGAGCTAACTGGACAGCCCTGGGAAGTTTTCTTAAAAGCTGCTTGGTATGAGACCTTTGTCCCATCCTCCATTCTGCTTCCTAGAACAAGAATGTGGTGGTGGGAACTCTACCCACCATTCCGGACCATGAGGACAAACCCTAGGGATTGCAGGACAGAAAGCTAGAAAGATCCTGGGCCTCTGTGAATCTTGTAGTACACGCCACCCTCATATCCCTAGACTGGCTTCCTCTGGACTTTCATGTGAAAGAAATAACCTTCCTGCCTGGTTAAGCCACTGCTAGGTTGGGCTCCTCTCTCACACACAGCTGACTATAGTCCTAAGTGACCCAGCCAGCACCTCTGGAAACCATGTTACCCAGTCTTCCTCATTCACACCTCCCAAGCCCACAAATGTTTGCACTTGGGCGTTCTTGCTTTCCTGTTCCCACCTCTACTCCCTTCAACATCAAGCATCCAAGGAGGGTCATCTACACCCTCTATCTTCTCTGTTCACCCATGATCCTCCTCTACACACTCTGGTAGGGTTTAAGCCCCTACCATTCCACCAAAGACCATCTGGCAACATCTGACACTCTGAAACACTCCCTTCTGGGCTCCAGGATGCCACCCTTCCTGGGTCTTCTCCCACCTCTCCAGGGCCTCCTTTACTCTTCCTCTCCTATCCACTCCCAAATGCTTTGATTTTGAGGGGTCTCTTCTGTCTGGACTCTCTCTCCTCTCCCTCTTACACTCCCTGGGCAGTCTCATTCACTCCCAGGCTAGTTCCCTCCAATATCTGGGGTGCATGCTCCCCTGAACAAGCTTCAATAAATCTTCTACCATTTTATGCAAAACTGCATTTTAGCATTTGAGTGCAAATCTGTACATGAATGTTCATAGGATTTTTTTTTTTTTTGCAGCTGTATCCAAATCCTTGACTTTAGTGTTCTAACACTGTGTTCTAACCAACTGAGCTAACTGGCCAGCCCTTCATACAACTTTTATTTATAATAGTAAAAAACTAGAAATGGTTCAGATATCTTTCAGTGGGTGAATGGTTAAACTGTGAAGTATCCATACCAGGGATACAACTCAGCAATAAAAGGGAACAAACTATTGATATATACAACAACTTGGATGAATCTCCAGGGACTTATAATGGGTAAAAAAATCCCATCTCAAAGGTTACACACTGTATGACTCCATTTACATAACACTCTTGAAATGATAAAATTTTAGAAATGGAGAACAGATCACTGGTTGCCTGGCGTCAGGGATGGTGGCAGAAGGGGAGGGATTCGGGGTGTGGCTATAAAAGGGCAACACCTTGTATTGATGGAACTGTTTTTCTGTGTGTTGACTGGTATAGTGATATTCTATAGTTATGCAAAATGTTACCACTGGGGCAACTGGGCAAAGGATACATGGGACCACTTTTTATAATTTCTTACAACTACATGCAAATCTACAGAAAAAAATTTCCAAATATAAAGTTTATTTTTAAAAAATGCAGACTCTCAATTAAGTGGTTGGCAAATAAAATTAAATTAAAATTTAAAAATACAGCCTGTCTAGGGGCCGGCCCGGTGGCGCACTGCGCTAGTGCGCCGCTTGGGAAGCGCGGCAGCGCTCCCGCCGAGGGTTCGGATCCCACATACAGACCGGTTCCCGCTCACTGGGGCAACACCGAGGGTTGCGATCCCGTTGCCGGTCCCGGTCCAGTACGGGGGCGACACTGAGGGTTGCAATCCGTTGCCGGACACGGAAAAAAGACAAAAAAAAAAAAAAAATACAGCCTGTCTAAAATAACTCAAATCAAATGTGTCGAGGGCTGGCTGGTTAGCTCGGTTAGTTAGAGCACAGCCTTATAATGCCAAGGTCACGGATTCAGATCCCCATACTGGCCAGCCACCAAAAAAACCAAAAATTACATGTGTTATCCCCCACCTCTAAATTTGTTCCTCTGCCAGTAATACTCATCACTAAGAACAAGGTACGACCGTCCACCCAGCCACAGCCCCTGGGACAACCATTGATTCATCCCTCAACCTACAAGCCCTCCCACCCCCATTTCCAGTCCTTCTGCAAATCTATCTTATTCTGCTTCCCAAATATGTCTCAAATCCACTTTCTTTCCATCCCCACTGCTGTCCCCCTGGCTCAGGCCACCAGTTCTCAGCTAGACAACCTTGGCAGCCTCTTCACTCAACCTCCCGCTGCCACTCTGACCCCCTGCAATCTGCTCCCGAAGCATCCAGGGTGAACTTTATAATACAGACAACAGATTGTGCTGCTCCCCTACTGGAAACCTTTACGTAGCTCCACACTGATCCCAAGATAAACTTCAGAAGCTTCACCAGCTCACTCACACCGAGTCCTGCCAGACCTATCCCTCCCTCCCCAGGGCTCTGCAAATGTACCTGCCACTGCCTGGGTCACTCTGATGTCCCCTCTTCTCTGGTTATCTGTGTATCTGCACAGTCCTGCTGCCCTTACCTCACCCAGCACACATCAAACTGTCCTAGGAACTGATATCCCTTTTCATTTCCTTTTTTTTTGGATGGCTGGCCAGTACAGGGATCCGAACCCTTGACTTTGGTGTTATAACACTGTGCTCTAACCAACCAAGCTAACTGGCCAGCCCTATCTTTCCATTTCCATTTCTTTATTACTCAATACGTGAATACATTCTTGTAGGGAAAATTCGAACAATGAAGAAGTCTACACAGCCTAAAGAGAAAGTAAGCCTCACCCCATCCAACTGTCCTCCCAGAGGGAACCAGCACTGACCCTGGTCCTCCATACCCATCACCTCCTGATTATTTTCTTAACAGCATGGAACGCCAACTGAAGTTATCTTCTTTTACCATTTACCTTTTCTATAATTCTATATCCTTGATAACCAAAAGAATCTGCTCTGACCAGGTTAGCTAAATTACAGTGCCTTGGGAGATCTGGGATAAGTCAGTAACCACATCCACCCATCCTGGAACACATTCTCATAAGACCATTTTACTTAGAAGCAGCCATATGGTGGCAGAAAGCCATAAAATAACCTAGAGTACTTATTACCTTTACCCTAGATCCCTGCATGTAGTACATAACCTAGGAACAGCCCCAAATCTATATGTCACATATTACCAATAGAAAGCCTGATGAAGCAATTAGGCAGGGCTGTCTTTCTCTCTCTTTTGACCCTTCTCCCTTCTTATTATTATAAAATGTTAAGCTCTGCTGGCCCTCTTCGGAACACATTTCAGGGCTACCTGCTCTATGTGTCTCCGTGGTTGCAATCGTCATATCCGCTCAATAAGTCCTTGCTATATGTATTTGGTCTCAGTTTCTTTTTATTTTTTTCGCTGCTGGCCAGTACAGGGAATCTGAACCCGTAACCTTGGTGTTATAAGGCTGTCAGTTTCTTTTGAGGTCAACGTTTCTATAATTGCTTGTTCTATAATTTTTCTCCCTCTCCCTGACCAAACCATGGGGCAGGGACTGTCTGGCTCAATGAGCACTCCTGAAACTGAACCCCTCTACATGGGGGAGGATTACCTCCATTTAGGGTGAGAACTCTGAAAGGAAGTGTCTGCCACCTCCTGGGTAGTTGCAGGACTCAAAGCCTCAACCCCACAGCGCCAGTCCAGCCCATTTCATTTGCACTCTATATGTTACTCATCTCATGATGCCCCTCCAAGAACATTCTTGGAGGCCCGGCCCGTGGCTCACTTGGGAGAGTGTGGTGCTGATACCACCAAGGCCACGTGTTCGGATCCCTATATAGGGATGGCCGGTTAGCTCACTCGGAGAGTGTGGTGCTGACAACACCAAGTCAAGGGTTAAGATCCCCTTACCGGTCATCTTTTAAAAAATTTTTTTTTCTTGGGTCTGTATGTCCCCCAGCGTCTACTCTGTGCCATGTCCCTGAGTCTGTGCCATGTCCCTGAGTCGCTAAGGCTGTCCTTCCTCCCTGACACCCAGCAGGTGCACACGGAGGCGCTCAATGTTTGCTGTCTCCACAGCCCACAATTCTCTGAGCCCGAGGACTACTCCCATCCCAGGAGCTTGCAGAGCACAGGACAGTAAGTGTTCGCTCCTAGTGTTTGCTGGCTTGGGTCTGGGAGCACCGCGACCCGGCGAGGCACACCGTCGGCACCCATCATTTTGTGGTCTGAGCTTGTAAAACTCTGCACTCCAGCATGCTGCACACAGCAGGAGCCGAAGTGTTTGCTGGTTTGGATCTGTGAGCCCTGAGTCTCGGGCTTGCACCCAGGTGTCTCCTCTTCTGTCGTGGTCTGAATTTAAGAGAGTACATCACAGCACGAGGCACACAGTTCGCTCAATAGAAGTTCTTTGCGGTCAAGGCGCCTAGCTTAGGTGCTCCGGCCGCCTACGCCCTCCGTCCCCTCCGTGCAGCCCTCCGGTCCCCCGCGTCCCGCCAAGTCGCCTGGCTAGCCACGGCGGCTCCCGGAAGGGCCCGTCCGCACCTTCCCGGGCTGTTCCCTCCGGGGCACCCCTCCCGCGCCGCCGAGGCCCTCCAGGCTGGAGCTGTTCCGGCCCCGAGACCCCCTCCCCGCTGGACTAGCTCTCCCCGGCTGTTCCGGTCCCGGTGCCCCCCCCACCGCCGGTCCTCGGCTCCCGCGGCTGTTCCC